CTGGAGTGCTGTCTGTCTTGTATATGCTCTGGCAACTAAGCTTAGAGTAACTACACGTTGTTTATATAATAATTTTCCATGTGGAGTAATTGTTTGAGGGACAAGTATGAAAAAATGCAAACCTAAAGCAAATCTCTGTGTCCCAGGTTCCTATACTAGTAGGATTTGTGTTCCACAGCAGAGCTCTGTGTTGTAACATTAATAACCCATATTTGAAGACATATATACAAACTCACTGTGAGTTTTAAGAGTGGAAAATGGTGTCTAAAGAAATTCCTCTTACTCAGAACAGCATGCCCCCATGTTAGCAGAGCTGTGCCATTTTAAACTGTATCAGTCTGGGTTTCAGGAATGCATTTGTCTTAGTTAAGTGATCCAAATGCTTTTTTTTTTTTTTGCCTGGGCCAATGTTTTAAAAGTTATCCTGAAGTTTTGAATAATAGTACAGTAACACCTTTTTTCCAGCCTGAATCCCCACATAAAACATAAAATTTCAGGAGTGCTGGAGTAAGCGGGATTGTGTGCTTTTGCACCGCAGGGCAAATGTGCCATCCTCCCCTTCTGACCATGTCAGTGCATGGGGAAAACAGCCACACCCATTTTCCTCATCTTGCCCTATGAATTTCCATGTCATCTCCTTTGGTCTTTGGGCATAGGTAACTAAATTAGTGCCATCTCAGGAACGGGGCTGTTTATACCCTCTCCTCACTCTTAACGTGCCTGTGCAGTCTGAGCCACTGATGGACCCCTATTGATCTGATTTGACTACGCTCCTGTGGAGTAGACAAACAGTGCAAGAGAATCCAGGGACTAATTCACAGCACCTTATTTAGGTTCCTAGGTCATAATTCTTATTTGCATTAATCACTTGCATTAATCAGAGAGAACCTGAGGCTGCCTCTTGCCTTCTATGCATTCCTGTTCCTGACAATGGAACAAAAAGGTATCTGCTCTGAAGAAAGTGTGTTTGAAGTATATTGACACTTGATGCTTAATAGTTGCAAAACTTAACTGTTAGAAAAAATACATTTTTTCAAATCAATGAATCACGCATTACTGTAAAATATATCGATTAAAAACAAAGTATAATGTTAGTCATTTAGTCAGTAGAGTGATGCAATACTGAAATAAATTCATCCCTTGACTTTTGCATTAACCTTTTATTGACTGCTTGCACACTCATAATTAACACACACTTTAGCTAGCTTGGTTAATTTTAGCATGGTGATCAGTGTCCTCTAATCTAGATGACACCCTGATCATCAAAAATCAGTGCAGCCCAGGGAACCATGACCAGGCAAGTGTCTGTCTCAGTGGATGCACACCTGCCCAGGGAGATACCAGCCACCTTCCAGGGAAAGCATCATCTGCTGTTATGCAAATAGTCAAACAGTCATACAAATGCTCGTCATCACTTAGTTGAACATTGGTAAATATTAATGAGCAAAGTCCATTTGTCAAAACCAGACAAAAAGGTTATGAAAAATCTGAGAACTTTAGAGGGTAGAGGTAGTGAGAACATACTCTTCAACAGTAACTAAAAATGGGCTTTTTAAATTGAAACTGTCACAAGTCTTGATTGTTTTAGTAAGAAAGTAGGGACCATGGAGTTTTGTGCATTCTATAAACAAACAATTCTTTCTATAATATGTTATTGAACAATTAGTGTCAAGGTGTTGCAGCTCAATTGCTCTGAAATATATCACGGCAGTTTTCCTGTTCTTCTGCTGCAGATAAAATATTGAAGGAATCTATTCTGTATTTCAGAGTTTGTGTGATTTCCACTCTTTACTCAGTTTTTACATATAATATGCACAGGTTAGTTCTATTTTCCTTTTGACTTTAGTAACTCAAATAAAAATTTTTAATTGATATGGAATATTTTCATTAACCTACAATATTGTAAATCTTCATAGCTTCCCACTACCACCACAGCTTGAAGTTTGCAGCCTTTTTTTGTTTCTTTTTATTTATTAGGAGTTATTGTTGCTAACTCATTTTAACCGTCAGACACAAAGAATTTTAAATAATTCTGTGCAATCATTTAGATGCATTTGATTGTTCTACTTCAGTTTAAAAAGTTGCTCTGCTTTTGGCAAGATCTTCAGCTCTCTTCCACTGCTACAAATTAAAGACCATTGTAGGAACAATTTCTGCTGCAGATTTTTTTAGTTTTTTTAATCAGATATATAGTCATCTAGAAAGGTCTGGTTTTTGCACCCTAATTCTGAGTGAGAAAGCACATTTTTGACCATGTTCCAGATTGTGGGAGCTATTCAGGTGGATTGCTTATTGAACTGCCAGGTGCAGCAGTGACTGCCTAGAAGCAGCTCCATAGCTTTGAATTTGACAAAACTTAAGCTGTCTTTGATGTCAGCAGATCCAGCACAGGGGTTGTACTTTTGGTCAAAATAGATGATTGACAAATTGTAAGAGTGTATCATTCCCTGCTGTTCTTGCTAGTATGGAGCAAAGCTGTAGCAATCCAGCAGAAGGACAAAAGCACCGTGGATTACTGAACTTCGAGTACTGTGGCACTGCTTTCCGTTTTTTGTATTTTTAGAGCACATTGATACATTTCTGTCATCAGACTGGCACAGCAAGTCTGAGGACCTGACACACTTCCATTCTTCTAATCCCTCCCATGGAATATGCTATGGCTAAAACTTCTCCCATTGCATGATCTCCTGGAAGTTCAGGCATGTGCTTGGCTGTGGGGAGACCTCTCAGCAATGGCTCTGCTGGTAGCAAATATAGAAAAGGGAAAGTAGCAAGTAGTGGCTCTTGGGTTGTCCAGGAACAGCATCACTGTGACTGCCATCACATTTACAGCAACACAAACACCCACATGTGAGGGAAAAGCTGGTCAATCTGTTTGTGTGAGAGAGCAAGGAAAAAAAAAAGACATGAAAGGTACAGAGAGGGCTCTGAAATGCTGAGGAAGCTAAAGGTTAATATCTCTTTTCTCTCAGTGAAAACTGTTGTTAATAGATGTGGGAGAGAGAAAATGTTTATTATTATTATTATTATTAGCTGAGTTTTGCAGATCACATAACTTGCCTGCAGTATTTACTGGCTGAGCTTTGTGATTTGTCATCTGCAATAATCACTATATGGTTAATTTATCCACTTTTAGATGGAAATGCTTAAACTGGAATGTCTTATACTACCCACCAAACTGAGTGTATTATTTTGTGCCAAGACAGAAAATAAAGCAAGCTTTTAAAAGCCTTATAGAGTTATGCTGTAATTAGTTTCAACTTCCCCTGCATATTAATTTTCTCCTGTTCCTTTATATAATTTGGAAAATGTCTTCAGAACATGATGGCACAATCAGTTAAGTACCTCTCAGAACTCACACACTAAACTGCATTTGCTATAACAACTATTATAAAGCAGCCAGCAAAACAAATCCTCTGTTATTCTGTACAGTGCAGCTTATCAATGCAAACAGTTTAATATTTATGCTAAGAGGATTGTCACAAGTAGCTTCTGTTCCTTTAATTCTTGTTTTAAATAAATAATGAGAACATTTAAACACATTACTCTTCCCAGGGCCCTGAGGTCGGCTAATCTTATTATTTATGAAGTGATGTGCTACATAATAGTACTTAGTGCATGTTAACAGATGCTATTATCAGGGGCTGATGTGGAGAGCTGAAGATATATTGGAATGCTATGTGTTAATACTGTCCTTGTAGTGTAATGTACGATGGATTGAGTGCCCAGGATGCTGGTGCAGCAATTAACCACCCACCAACGTGGGTGTAAAGCTGAAGTATGTTTTCTCATGGGGATTAAGCTGCTATTAATAATTCCCAGGAGAAAAAGACATCTTTCATTTGGCAACAGTCTCTTCCAGAAGGTCAGTGGTGTGGACAAGGAAGTTGAGTGTGTCAGTATTCTTAGAGTTCATTCTACTGAGGTGAAAGACACATATATGTTTAAAACAACTTTAAAGTTCTTACAAAAATTATGTGTTTTATAGAAGACAAGTTTTAAAAAATGTCATACAAGAGATAAAAGTGCACTTCTGCAATTTGGTTGTTATCTCTTTAAAGAGCTGTGTAGACCTGCAGTATGTACCAAAATTAAGGTAATTCTCTGCTTTTTTTTTTTTTTTTTTTTTTTTCCCCACTGCAAATATTAACTAATTAATCTGCAATGTGCAAATTATTTGAGGGGAAGGGAAAAGAGAGGGGGAGAAATCCTCCTTGAACTGTGACAATGTTTTTGATGTGGCATGTATTAGTCTAATCTTTGAGATGTGATGGTTGCCACTTATAAAAACTTTCCTCTGCAGGCTGCAGTTCACTTGAATATTATAATTAGACTTCACTAGTATTGATGAATAATCCATTTAATAAAAAACATTGTAATTTAAACATTTTCTCTGGGGACTAACATACACTAGCCTCTTAATTTAATTTTATTGAAGTTTTGCCCACCCATTCATCATTGGAAGTTGTTATTAACCTCCATTTCCATTTTTCTTTATAGAATTTTCTCTTTTTATATTGCCTTTTTCAGTGCTAAGCAGGTTGATACACTTGTAAATCTCCAGAATCTACAAAGCTAGTCTGGCTTCTTTAATGTTGTTTAATCTATCCCCCCTGACCTTAATGCAGTAAATTCAGTTTAATCTTTCTCAATAATCTAGTAATACATTGGAAACCAGCAAACATTTAAATCTGATAATGATTTAATCACATACTTTAAATAACAGCTGAGATAATGAAAAAATAATTCACCATATAAAGGAACACTAACTGAGTTTTCTCTGTGATTGGCTTTTTAAGAAATCCCTACAGAAAATACAAAGCCTACAACAGAAATCAACTTCACTGGAAATGTGCAATCCATTCGGTGTCAGAAGATGTCGTATTTCTTTTTTTTATCATCTTTCTCTTTAAATTAATGCTCAAATGAATCCTTGCTGAGTATTCAGTTTCTTGATACAGTTTTACTTAAGTGGTTTATCTGCTTACCTTTCTTTTCAGGTGCCAGTCAGACGCAGCAGAGAGCTTGCCAGAAGACCAGAAACCAGAATGCCATCCCTTCTGGACAGATGATGATGAATGTAATATGCCTCTGCCATATGATCTAGAAGAAGTAATTGCTTATCTACAAAATCTTGTTCAATGGATAGAATAACAAGTGACCTTCCAGCCTAGAATTATTGATGCTGGTCATCTGGGGAGAAGCTTTGTCATTATCATAAATCTTTTAAGCTTTATGATTTCTTGATTATATGTTATTTTATGTGTCAATGCAGATTTTACCAGTCTTTACACAGTAGCTTAGTCACTGTCTCACAATAAAGAGGACCAGCCCCCAAATTTAGAGAAGCGTGTGTTTTTTAAGACCTGAAGTCCAGAACACCAGCCTTAGTTCCCTCCTCCTCCACTCTAATTCCCATTGACCCTACAGCCCAGGGATATCTGTGTTTCAAAGAATCACAGGATGGGGCAGGTTGGAAGGACCACAGTGGAATCACCTTGTCCAACCTCTCTGCTCAAGTAGAATTGCCCAGGGCACAGGGCTGTGTCCGGACAGTTCTGGAATGTCCCCAGCGAGGGAGACTCCACAGGCTCTGGCCAGGCTGTTCAGTGCTCGGGCCCTGCACAGCAAAGAACTCCTTGCTCGTGTCCAAGTGCAACTTCCTGGGCATCATTCCTGCCCCTTCCTCCTGTCCCATCGCTGGGCACCAGGAGCAGAGCCTGGTCCATCCTCTGACACCTCCTGCAGATACTGACATACATCAGTAATGTCCCCTCTCAGCCATCTCTTCTTGAGGCTGAGCAGGCCCAGCTCTGCAGTGTTTTGACACATTCCCTTGGTATCTGAATTTCAGCTTCCATGAGTGCCTAGAGCTGTCTCTGGCCTGGCAGGTTTGAGCAGCCCAAGGTGTAGCTCACACCTGTGCCAAAGCAGACTGCATGATCTGGGCATCCTAACGAGAGGCCAGCTTGGGCTGAGCCTGCTGGAGATCTTCAGAACAGACCTGTGGATTCTCAATCCGGTAACACAAAGGGGCAGGAGATGCTGGAGATATTCCTTTGTGCAGTGGCTCCTTCTCAGAGCGTTTTTTCAGGAGAGGAATTCTGTAGGAGCATTCTAACACAGATCCCAAGACTTTCTTTAGAGTATTACTAAGAGAGATTTCTGATGTGAATCTGTACCTCCTGGGCTCCCTGGAATTCAGAATTCAGTTCCTAATCATTGCTTTGTTTCTGCATGTTGTGAAACCTATTCTGAGGTCAGGTTTCCCAGTGCATTGCCTAAAGATGTGATGGACCTAAGTAAGACCTTCCATTTGGGCTGTTTGGTCCCCTGAGAAACTAGATTTAGATTGTCTGATATTGGGAATTTCAGCATCAAGTGAGATCTATGAGCATAAACCCAAAAACTATGAGAAATTAAGCTGTTTGTGATGTTTTGTAGTAACATGCTGTAAAAAGAACAATTATGTGTAGGATGATACAGGGTGCCCCTGAATTAGATAGAGAAATTTGTTTTGGTTAATTGCTATCGTATCTGAAATGGTTGGACTGGTGTCCAACTTTGCCACAAAAAGCAGAAAATCATTACGGTGAAAAAACACTCAGGCTGTGTTACCAAAGAAACCAGTAAGGTTCAGAGTTTGACATTACCACCAAGAAATGAATATGCCACCTGTGTTAATGTAGTGTTTAAAGTCTCTGCTGAGGCTGAGCTCACCCAGAACACACCAGCTTCTGTACTGGCAAAGAGCTGTGTGTGTGGATGAGGCTTCTACTCCTGAAAATTGTGCTTTTGACAGTATAACATATGCCAGACCTCCCTGGAGCTAAGGAAGCTGTGCCAGTAAAAATTCAGTTTTAGTGGTATAAAGCTGTGTCCACACCTACCAGGTTTTGCCAGGACTATTATATCAAGTAGAGGGTGTACTTCATAAGACTTTAGGTCAAGCTGTGCCAGCAAAAGTAAAAATACCTGAATCAAGTGTTTCCATCGTAGTCCTGAGCTTCTGTGAAAACTTTTTGTTATCCTGTGGAATGTAAAGACTCTCTGAAGAATAAGTTATTACTTAAACTAGCGTTGATAATATTACCATGATCCACACATTTCTCTGTTGTCTCTTTTGCCATAGATTTCATAACATTTGGAAACACTGCTATGGGCATAGCTTTCTCTTCCCTGCACTAGTTGAAGCTGGCTTTACCAGTGGCATATTTGGATTAGTGCCTCACTAAACACTGTTTACTTTGGAGATCTCTTAGAGAAAAGCTAGCTGAAGATGTGGGAATGCTGCTTTTGAAAAGGCAGTTCTCAGAAACAGATATTGCTTTGGAAATGAGCAGTATGAATTCAGACAAGCTAATGATGTAACAGTGTTAACACAGTGTTTAGGGGGACTGTTTGTTTATGCTTTTATGTTATGATTACTTTGTGTATAATTAAGCACTGCTGAAATCCATGGGGATCACAGTATTGAAAGGAATCTGAACACCACAAAGGGTGGAGAAGGCACATCAATGATATAGTTTGTAGCTGAAGTGGAGGCAAAGCTATTAAAAAATGATTGCCAAATAATTATTTCCAGCATCAGTAAAAATAAAACCAAACTGAAACAATCCCAAACCTATTAGGAGGCTCCTGGCAGTAATAACAGAATTTTTAGAATACATGTTCCCAGTCCTTGCCTATGCTTGAAGATTTAAGGTAGTGAATTCGCTGAACTAGTCTCAGTCAGATAGCACTTATCTAAGCCATGGTTAGCAATGATATGGACAAATGAACACCTTTGGAATAAGACTGCCAAAATACCAATAATCAAGTGGTTTAGGGCTCTGTGTTGCATTCCAGTCTTGCATCATCTAAATCAGTATAACCTGATTGTGCTCAGTTGAAATGCAGAAGTATGAGAAGATTTCATATCTCCAAAGCCCACAGGAGTTGATAGCAATAACATGAGTAAGATGGTGGAACTGTTTGAAGCACACAGTAATGCCAAAGGGTACCCCAACAGGAGAACACAGTTAAAGGTAAATATATATAAAAAAACCTGAGAGATCAAGTATAAATTATTGCTGTGCTTAGATTATGTGTTAGAAGCTGACAATCTACTTTGAAGATTTCTTTATTTTATTCAAGTAGTTACAATTTAGCTTGTTTCAATGATTCTTTAGCAGTCCATTTATATTCCAGCATTAGATAATGCATTTCCTTTTTGAAAGAGCTGGAAGACACAGCCTCTAATTAATGTTTTGTGTATAGCAATTGTTTGCCAAGCCTGGATGCTTTAGAAGCATGAGGACCAAGGTCAAGTTTTTTCAAGGAAGAGGTGAGAGCATAAATTAACTTCTGACATTAAATTCAGCGGTTCTTTTAAAATGGTGAAGTTCACGATTTTGCTTACATTTACTTTTCATCAGCCAGGACTGAATTGAGGTAAAATAGTTCACTTGCACGTGTGTGTCAGGCTAAATGGATTGCAGAAGATACAGATCTGTTTGCCTGTCTGCACTTGCCTTTAGACAATATTCATCAATTTTACAAAAGCTACTGACTAAACATGGTACCAGTACAAATGAAATGCTCAAGGCAAGGGCTTTCTTTTATAAATCTGATACAGAGTTGGTTTTACACTGATAGAAAGAAAATGTTGGCAGAAAATGAAAAACTTCTATTGTTTCTGTAATTTGGGGGATGAAAGATACAGACTGTTTTTAAGTATTTGATAGAAAACTGCTGTGTTATGCAATGTAATTAGAGATGTTTTTATAATGTTTTGTTCATATCCGTGTATATAAAAATATTTTATCCCATAGGTCCTTTCTTCTGGTGAAAAGGTTATGTAAATAAATAAAATTAATCTCAATACAGTAGATTTTAAAGGCATAATACTTATGTTCTAAGCTTTACAGCAGGTTCTGATTATTTAAAGGGTAAATAAGAATGCTGTGAGTAATCACTGACTGAAAACTGTGCAGGATGGGTAACATGCCCCATAATAAATATCCAAATCAGTTGTCTTATTATCATCTGAATATGGTTTTAGATTCACTGGTAGTGGTACAAGATGCAATATAAAATCATGCTGGACTAATTAATGCAGTGGGGCAGATTCAGGGATTCCATTCATGTCACAGCACAGAAATCAAAATATTATTAAACTCCATCATGAAAGGTGACTAAAATATTGTAATGTGTTAAGAGTTGGCATTGCTCCTTTCTCAGTTGCAGCAGTGCTGTGTTGTGATAAGACACGAAATGATGACACAGACACTGCTGCTCTCGAGGGGAACAAAAGAAGAAGAAGAAGAACTTTATTTTCTGACTCCAACATTTATAGTTTTCCAAAGGTGACAGTGGATTGGAGGGGGACAGTGCCACCTCTCCAATGCCACTGGACAGACCAAGGGTCCATCAATTCTCTCCACCTCCATGAAAGAATGCAAAACATAGGTTATTTACAGAACTGTGTGTGAGAAAGTTTGTTGAAAGAATGCAAACATCAGAAGGCTTAACAAAGTCTTACAAAATCAAGGCGACAGTGCTGTTCCATTAGTTCTGTGCTGTGCAGTGGAGTTTGGGCTGCTGGATGTTAAACCAGGCCAGGCTTAGGCTTGTGTCTAAGCTGGACTGAGAGCAGGGTGAGAGAGACGAGGTGGGATGCACAGGAGACCCAAGGGATGTGATTTTTCAAGGCCACAGCTTCATTAACTGGACTCATATGGGAGTCATTGAGCTCAGACTTGTACAGTGCAGGTCAGGAGCTCTCTCTTAATTGTTACCACCTGGTGCAAAGTTAATGTTGGCTCCCTAAACCCCTTCCTGCCCCTGACAGCTAGTCCTCAGCTTTCTGCTGGGAGCTGACCACTCTCAGCTCACACCAAGATTACAGAGCTGGGAAGAGTGGTTATTCCACTGTAGCAACAGGAGTGAGAAATTCTCATCCCCAGCTTCAGCCATCCTCTCTCCTGCTACAGCTCCACAGACTGAGTACCTCCAAACATTCTGCTTCTCATTTGAGATTCAAGTTGCTGCAGCTCATCTTCTGTCCTGTTCTACCAGGACAGTGATCTGACACAGGGAAGGGCCAGACAAGAAAAATTCTGTTTGCATGAGGCTCCTCATCAAAAACAGACACCTACTGGACTCTCTGAGTGAAAAGTTCAGGACTACAATAATCTGCCTTTAGAGGGTGGGAGCTGCTAGGGAGTGATGAAGGACTCTGGCCAAACCACCAGCATTCATTGTTCTGTAGGACTCCCATCCTGCCCTGTTCTGGCTCACCCCACCTGTACAGGCAGAGGCAATCCTGAACAGATCCACTGCAGAGGCAATCCTGAACACATCCACTGCACAGGCAATCCTGAACACATCCACTGCACAGGCAATCCTGAACACATCCACTGCACAGGCAATCCTGAACACATCCACTGCACAGGCAATCCTGAACACATCCACTGCACAGGGCTCTCTTTCCTGTCCAAACTGACTCTTCACCTTCAGTGTGGCTGGGCTTGAACCTTCATTTACACTCATCTGTCCTCTTCACCTTAGCCTGAGGGCATTCAATGAACAAGAGAAGATAATTTATACAATTACAAAAAGACTGTACATAGAAAGGCTACAGATCTGGCTGAATAACACGTAAAATAAAAGCCAAGAAATAACCAATAAAATTAGCACACTAAAATGCTGATATTTAGGCACAAGCACTTCACATATTATAGGAACTCTTGTTTCTCTTCTTGTTGCTTAGGAGATAACGTTCATAATCCAAAAGGATGTATTATGCTTTGGTTTACATTCTCTAAATCTCCACTGGTTTTACAGGGCTTGTCCATGATGATCAAGAATTTGGTCACAAATGTTGTTCTCCTCCCCCTCCCTATCGTCAAATACTTGCTTTCATGCCAACACATCTTGGTCTGATTAGTCCCCTTGATTACAGGCTAAAGCAAAAAGTCAGGTGTATAAGATTCCCATTATCCTTTATTCCACTGCTTCTAAGAACAGGTCAGATAGAGTTATTTCAGTGAAAATGTGAACAATCAACTTCTGTTTACCATTAACCTTCAGTTTTCTTTTCTTAAAATCAAATCAGGGCTTGGTAGGCAGTTATTTTCATGCATGTCCCTTGATCAGTGGAACAATCTGTCAAAAGCCATTAAAGCCTCTATTAGGTTGAATTGCATTCAAAGTTAAGCTCTCCAATCATTTGAAGGACTGTGATGATTGCTTTTAATATAGTATACATTGATTTCTCTCTTGGAATAGCAGCATAACTTTGAAACTAAGCATGTATGACTTGAGCATTTTGCTCTCCGGTATGTTTTGAGAAGCTTTGTTTCTTGTGGAAGATTAATGTGTACATAAAAAAAAAGGGAAAAGCAAATGCAGTG